TGCCTATTAGTGGCGTTGGTTCCGAAATTGAAAAATACCACTTCAAATACCATATTAGCTGCAGCTTCCTAGACCTAGCTTCTTGTTTGATTTTTTACTCACGACAGCGTTAGTTTGAAATTACTTTAGAAAGTTTATATCCTCGATCTTGGTTGGTAACTGTATGAAATTAAAAAGTTACCTTCGAGACTGTAGGAGACTTCATAGCCATGTTATGTTAGGTTCGCGTGTTGCGATGCACTTCACCAACTATTCATCTATTACAAATAAAGGAAGCGTATTTTCTAAAGCACTATGATATTAAATTACTTTCTATTTTAAGCTATGATTAAATTTTGAATGATCACCCCTCAATAGTTTCATTTATGAAGAAACCTCTTTTCTCATTGAAAATAACTGGCATCTACACATGTTAAAACACAATACTATTTTTAATCTGTGCAATTAAAAGATGACTATTATTGCACCAAACTTCGCGTCGCTAGCAGCTGAAGTGTAAAAAAATATAAACATAAAATTGTGCATAGTTAAAAAGAAACGTGTAATTACATTATAATCAGGGCTTTATTAAATGCACAAAAAGACATGCAATATTTTACTGATTTTCTTTTTAATTCATATTCATCGCTGCGTTTGATTATATCTTTTTACAATATATTGTAAAAGTGCTCTCAGAAACATAAAGATTAAAAAAAAATCATGGATTAACCAAAAAAATGGAATTAAAAATAATGATCCAATAAATTGTAGTAAAAGTGCATTAAACCATAAAATATTAATATAGTGATAATTAATCATAGATAAAGTGGTATCTACATTGTCTAAATTCTTGATATTCAAGGGTTTTATATTCAGCTAGGTTGACCAAAAAGTTTTTATCATTATAAAAAATATTAATAAATCTGCTGACGAACCGACCTCTGACGTTTGTTTCATGTCGTAATTTATCCTAACCTCATAATTAAAACAAAAGCGTTCATAACAAGCAAAACTTGAAGAGACAGCGCGCAAAAAATACACAATAAAGCAAAATAAATTTCCCGTAAATGAATCGGTACCTTCACTTAGGTATTTCAAAAAGCTTTGCAAAGTGAAATTTCAATTAAGCTGGTTGGAGGCGAGGCGATAGGCATCGTGTACACAATGGCCGCTCCATCCGGCCACCAATTAGCTCGCCCCTTAAACAATTTGCTCCCACTGCTCAGGACTTGTCTACACGAATCGCCTCAACGGTCGCTTTGCGCTAAATAATCCTTTAATTATCAGGAGCAAGATCAAGAATTTCTCAAATATCCTAATACATTTTTTAAACACACCAAAATCAACAACTATTGGTATTCAATAAGAAGTAATATATTTTATTTACATTGTTTAATCTGAATTAAATACTAGCTGTTGCTAGCGACTTCGCTCTCGTGAAAAAAGTGATAGAAGTATAGCCTATGTTACTCAATGATAACATAGGCTTTTAATGGTGACAGAATTTTTTAAATCGGCCGAGCAGTTTTTGAGTTATTTCAATACATACAAAATACAAATCTTTCCTCTTTATAATATTAGTATATACAAAACGAAAGAAGTAATCTATTAACAATTTGGCGGGAAATGTTTAGATGTGTGGAAACGTTTTTACAATGATTAAACAGCACTTGACCGTGATCTTATCTGATTAGTAGAGTTGTGGTCGAGACTTGATACGCGCTAATTTAGTAAATGCCATAAGATCATACTTGGCTCGAATGACGCCAGCATCTCATATAAAAAAGAAATAGTCTGCGACGGTTGTCTAAATACAGTTGATTCTTACATAATTCTCTAAAGCCTTTAATTAAATCTAATTAACAAAAAATGTACCATCAATAGATTAGTAAAGAAAAAGTTCTGAGTATTTTAGCATTAGCCGGTATCTTTGTTTGATTGCCCTGTCTAATTTAAATAACAAAAGTCAGAGGATATGAATAAATTAGAGGCCAAGTTTCAAGCCGCGTGGAGCGCGATCAATTCCATTGATAAGCCTAATGTTTATAGGACACGGTTATTACTTTCCATTAAGTTCGGCGTCATGTTATTTGTCTATAATAAAAAACAAAATACACACTATTGAGGAAGAATACTAAGTCAAATTTGACCTTAGCCAAGTTAAACTTAAATGTATTTTATTTCATAGAGTAAATATTCTCAGAACCGAAGTAAGTCATACTTGAAAAGTATATGAAATTAATGTGTGAATGATATTTAAATTAATATCATTTAGCGCTCTAGTGATTTGCGTTATATCTCAACCAGTTTTTCACGTTGCAAATAAACTAGTTTTATTCATAAAAATCTCGCATTGTAATAAAACTAAAACTCGTTCATAAATAAACCAATACGAAATTATTGTATTAGGATATCACAAGTTGTAAGCAATAATGTTGAGATTAAGGTCTGCCGCCCCCATGTTAACGGTATAACGCGCTAGCGCCGTGCGGCGAAACTCGGCACTACAAACATGACGTCACCAACGAGTCTACAGTGAGCTCTGTTATTTCCTTTATAGTTCTATTAAGTTTATTGTTACGTCGTGTAAAGAGCATCATTACATAATGCGTAAAGCGATGAAGAATTGTGGAATAGTTGGACATGTATAATAGTATGTACATGATCAAATAAATTAAACAAGTTAAAACTTGTCCATAAAAGTACATTAAGATAGAATAAGTCGGAGTTACCGTCATATGTCAACCTTATTGTATGAAGTAAGGTTAACAAACACCGTACAATTCACTTATTATGCCTCGGTACTTTTATGGGTCAGCGGTCGCCTTCACTAACAATAAAACACAAAAGCAGTAGCCTGTTTATTTATGTGAATCCGTTACAACTAGTTTTTAGTTCTTTGAACTTTTGTTACTCATTTTGCCCTACAGAGAAATTGATTTAAAAAAGTATATGATCAACAAGAGGTAACATACTTTGATATTGGGCGATTCCAGTTTTTTTATTTTAATTTTTTAATTAATAATTGCATTAAGTACGTTCATATCATCGTTAGTTGAGATTTAAATCGATTGACAGTTTTTATTACGCCTACCGCTTGCCCGTGTTACTATTGTTTGAAAGTTTGTTTGCGCAATCGGAAGTGGTCGACGCATTATCAATACGACTGCGGTCTAAAAACTAAACTTTATCACCAATATTGTAGTGTATTTGATAATGAATTAAAATGTAGAGCCATTTCCCATGAATTAGCAGATAGATTTCAATAGTTAGGAAAATATATATCGGTTAATTGTTATGTAAACGGACGCTTAATGTTAATTTACTAAAATAAACGAAAGTAATCAATTAGTAGCTACTTAGTAAACTGTCTAACTCAGACTACACCTATTTAAAAAAAAAATACCTGCTTTTAGTTGATTTTGCAATTGAAAAAACTTTGATTTAATTATCGCTGAAAAGTTTTTAGGACTTATAAAAAATCTAATAACATTTCTATTCATACTTTCATCCGATTTAAACGAAACTTTGATTTCCTAAGAAACGATGGAATTATCGTCTACTTTTCGTAATAAACCTATAGTTGTGCAATATACGTTTATGTCTGTTATTACTACTATTTATTGTTATCTGAGGCTAGAAAAATAACAACTTTAAGCTTTTCTAGCCTCAGAAACCTTGCTCTTAATTAATTTTTAGATTAAGTTCTCTACTTTCACAAAAATATGATTTATGGATATGGGAATATCTAAAGAAAGTTTCTGAAATTATAACATAATAGCTTTCGCCCGCGACTTCGTCCGCGCGGAATAAAAAAAACAAATGTGGAAATCCTATGTGTTATTCCAGACTATCCTGTACGTCTATGCCAAATTTCATAGAGATTCGTTCAGCAGTTTAGGCTACAAACTCTAACAAACATCCATCCATCTAAACTTTCACATTTATAATATTTGTAAGATAAATAATAATAATAATAATAATAATACACATTTAATCAGTTCCAAAACACACTGCAACACAATACAACATAATACACTTGAACAAAAAAAAAATACAAACGAGAACAACGAAAACCAATCATTAACAATCAAAACTAATGACAAGAAAATTGAAGAGGAAAAAAAAAAACAAAATATATAAACAATTTGACAATGCGTTGCAATGCAGAACTGATAGGGCCTTTGCTCAGCTATATGTTTTGTACCCTAGGGGTAAAAACGCTGATATGAAAAATAGAGTTGGCAAGTAATAAACTGGAACATTAAATTCGATATGCCTTCAACTTTCTCTCCCATTTGTAGGTACGTAATTTCAAATGTTATTGTTACTTTTGCTTCATAATGTAGAACAAAAATTACGTCAAACTCTGAACCGAAAAGTAACTTCAGAACTATCTAATTAATTTGTAAACATCTATAAAATTTTTGGTTTTTGATGTTAGGAAAATGTAATTAAGATTTTTTTATACGGTAGCTTCAAAAACATCTTTAATCTTGTAATTTATGTTGATAAATTGAGGTGTCATACTCGGGCATCTAATTGAATATTGTATAGTAGTTTTTGAATTTGAGTACATTTGAATGAAGTAGTCATAAGTATGTTGCGTAGGCGACCGCCGAGCGCCGCGCCGAAGCCCGGCGTAACGAGTGGCGCCGACCGTCCACTTATGCATATGCCGACAGAATGAAATGTTCGCCAATTTGTGAGGCAACTAGTTTCCAGCAAATGCCGGAAACTAGCCTGGAACCGTGCCAACTTCCCCCAAATCATTTGAATTACACTTATAATCTTCATAGCTCCAACCCAGCGAGTCTCTCACTTTTAATTGACGGTCTATGAAGTATCCATGAAGTTACAAACTTACTAGACACGGTAAACTATCTTTTAGTAGGTACCTAATTAAAGAATTTAATTAACGTAACATTTAATTCTGTCTAGTCTAGCTTTAAATTTATATTTATTGTTTTTTTTAATGCCCAGATATATGTAGTTTTCAATGATTTTTTCTATTGTTACAGGATATTACCAACCCGCAGGGCCCCTGATAAAAGAGAGCAGTGCCGATGCTGACAGAGCTCTTGGAAGATATCACCCCGCGCCACATTACCACCCGCCGCATCCCTCGGTGAGTATCATTTGTTACTCTGTGAAAATACATTTTATTAGATTTAAGTAAAACAAGTGATGTACGTAACAAAAGCGAGTAAATTGTTTGTCATTTTAGCACCGAATTGCAGGAATTTATTAATGCCCTTGGGCTGTGACGCTGCGATAGGTTCGAATTCGCGAAACAGTTGGTCGCTCTCTCTAACTCTACCACTACCCACATTTAAAAATTATCATTGTTAGAAGCGTTAAGTGCAGTATTAAGAAAAATAACTAAGGCATCTACTGTTTAACCATTTAAAAGAATCTGAGTGTAGCATTTAAAACAATTTTCTGATTTTTTTGTAAATTTTATAGATGCTGCAACAGTATGGACCGCCGCCATACTACCCCGCGGAGCTGTGCTATGGGCGGTACTACCGGCCGCCCGGGCCCTACCACATCCCGCCCCCACAACCTGAAGCTCCGGTAAGACTTCACTATGATACCACTTCACTTCGATTGTTTATTACGAAGAAACTTTTTCCTAGGAGACTACATCTAATTAAAAACAAAAGCACATCTCTTAAACGGGCTGTAATTATTGTTTACAATTGCAGATGGTGGGCGTGGGCGGCGAGCCGTACCCGCCGCCACAATACTACGGCTCACCACCTTGCTATCAACACTCACCACAAAGGATACCGTACGTCGGTAAGTCTATCACATTTTTTCCATCAATTTATCCAATGTTTTGGTGGTAAATTTTGTTCTGACATTATGAATGTTTATTGCAGAGTATCGTGGATGCCCGTGCCCATTAAACGCGTGTCCAAAAAACGTCCTTATTGGGCCCGCTACTGGTAAAGCCCCAGCCGGTGGCGGCCCCGCCGACGTCCTAGCTCTAGCGCCGCCCGGGGGCGCCTTCCGCGCGAAGGTTCGGGCCTGCGCTCTTGACTCCGCCGCCGACACGCACGGCAGCGGCAAGGTAACAATAATAATATATCTTTTATAATATCTTGTCACCTTTAATGGAAGAAATAATGACAATTCCGTCACACCATCACCATAATTATGCAGATTAGTTTCTTTATTTAGGTCATGAATTGATAAAAGTATTTGGGGTTTCAGGATCCACCGCTGGAGCCAGAGCCGCCCGCCGCGGCCGACGCTCCCCATCCTTGTCCGCTGCCAACCATCGGCGGTGCGTCTCCCAAACGTGAACTGTTCGACGTTCGCGAAAACATGTGCCGCGCTGCGGATATGCCCGGCCCCGCCGAGGCTATCGGCCCGCCCTCGCCCGCCAGAGGGTCTGCGGGGGCCTGCGCGCCGCAGCCGCCGCCCGTCGCGCCCCGCCGCGCCAGGCTCGGCAAAGCCATGGCCAGGCGGACTCTGGCAGGTGATGACACCGGCTTCCTCATGTCGACACCTCAGCAACCTCCACACAGCGACGCCGACGATGACGTGCTCGCCATCTCTCCACCCATCTGTGTACCGATAGATCTATCGTCATCAGACGAACGATCGACGCCCCTTGTCGACGTAAAAAAAGAGAACGAAGGCCCCACGTACACACCGCCGAGGAAGGTCGACGCGCAAGCTCTCAGAGAACATAACAGCACGACGGCGCTTTCTGAAATACCTGATTTAACGGAAGCAAACAAAGCCGTTAAGAGAAGGTATTCGAAGCCCAAACTTGAAATCGATATAAGAGATATACAACTGGATGATACGTGTAAAACCAATGGAATTGGGGAACATGTAAAGCTACAGAAGAGAAGAAAAGTATCGGGCGATCACACCGACATCGTTAGGATAGAAACTGTAACAAAGGAAGCTAAAAAGAAAACGACGCCGAGTACAAAGAGAACGCCTAAGTCGCCGCCTGCGGAGAAAAAAAATCTTAAAAGAAGATTAGAGAATATAGTCAGCAGGCCTAAAGCTAAAAAAGGTCTTATCCAGGCCATAGATGAAGATCCCCGCCTTAAAAATGTCGCAGCTGTGACGGAGGAACCATGCATAAAGAAGACAAAAACAAAAAGTGCTCTTCTTCTTGACAATTTAATAAGAAAGAACAGTATCGATAGCAAAGGATACGCGTCCGACAAGGAACTAAACCCCGCAGAGTTATTTTTGTCACCGAACGAAAACGTTATCCAAAACGTTGCGAAGAAAACACTAAATATTAATAATAACGTCGTTGAAAATACCGCACCTACGAATGGTGTTCGGCCGAAAACGATAGCCGCCGTGAGCCAACTTATAGAAAAGAAACTAGCATATAAGAACGCCTGCAAGATCGACTCAAAAATCACACACAACCTAAAATCAGTATTATCACCCACCGACAGTTCCGACATAAAGGAAGACCAAACAAATAAAGTTATACTTAGCAGTGGTACAATCGCAGGCAGTAAACTTTTTGATAAATGTGAAAAAGGCAGTAGCAACGATGATACTACTAATGGAGATGTAGTCATTGCTGTGAAAACATTAAAAGCCAATAAGAGTAAACCTCCATCAAATCAAACAGAAACAAGTCTTAAGCCCAAGTGTGACACTACCATTATTAATGTCGATGAATCTCAGTGCAAAGCCAGTGAATTACAAGACCAAGAGACGGGGCCGACAGAAAACGAGGCGACGGTGATAGCAGACAAACTGTTAAAAAAACCTAAAACGACGATAGAAAAACCTAACGCGGAACACAAGGGCAAGAACGTCGAAAAGGTCGTTAAGCTGCTAGTTTCAAAGAAACAAGCGAAAGCTAAGAAAGTCGACGAAGCGCCGACGAGCGAGACCGGCTCTCGCCTAGATAAAATAGAAGAGAAGACGAATAATGAAAAGACAGGAAAACGTTGTAAACTAGGTATGGAAAAAGAATCAAAAGGAAAGAGCGTGGAGAAGTTAGCAAAGCTACTGATATCAAAGAAGACTGCGTTAAAAACGGACGAAGCGGCGCTGCTGGTGGAGGCGGCGT